CTATGTAATTTTTCAGTTTCAAGAACTATTTTATGAAAGTAGAAGTTTATCTACGAGTAATTGGAAGGATCTTTTCATTTTTAGATTATATATATATTATTGATGTAGTGACAATTTGAAATGCTGAGTCCTCAAAATTTTTAGGATTAGATTGTTTGAAATGACTCCAGGCATTACTTAAGGCATCCCAGAAAAAAATCTTTTTTTAAATCTCACTGGAGAACACTTATTATTCTAAATATATACAGATATTGCTCAGACAACCTTTTTGTTAAAGCAAAGCCACAACGAAAACGGTCTCCATAAGGAACAGAAATCTACTCTGCCACTAATGGGACATGAGACAGCGAAGTTAGAACTTTATATATAATGAAGGGTTTGTAAGATTTGTCTTCATGTTTGATACACAGATTCAACACATTTTTTCTTGTTAACTATTGCTTCTGAGCTTTTAGCTTGGTGAAAGTTCAGAATCTTTCCTGTGTGCATGCCTCAGACCACACTGCTATGCTGTAGTGGGGCTTTGGGCTTCTTTTCTGCCTGCTTGTGTTCAGTAGCATTTATGGAGTTTTAAAGTCTTTTCTATAAAAGTTACCTATGATCTTGGGTATAAAATATAAGATTTTTGTAATACAATGCATGAGTTTTCTGGTGTAACCAGTTTTTGTTTCAAATTTCTTTTTATAGTTTTTAAAATTTTACTTAGGTTCAGGACAAGAATTATTTTCTTTAAATTTAGAAAAATAATATAATTGTCCTCAAATACTATATAGTTAGGATAAAAAGGAAAACTAGTGACCTGACTTCCTAGGCGTTATTTTGTGGTTCACTCTAATTTGGGGATAAATACAGTTATCTATGAAGGAAGAGATTAATAGGTACTGGAGTTCGTTCTATGAGGACATCATCTCATTGCTTTATGATTTGATTGGGTTAGATTTGTTGCCATTACCTGTAACACTTTATGCCTTTTCTCATGCATGTGTATCATCATATCACCAATTAGATTGTGAGCTCTTGAGGAACAGGAATTTTCATGTATGTTACCTTGCGTTTTCTTTGTGTTGTTTTTTGTGCCTGCTCTTCCATGGTATGTACACTCAGGTCCCAAACGGTGCTGTTAACCACTAATGTTATGCTTTTTCTGTGGCTTCTGTTCTACAGCTGACTAGGTGATGCTCTTTAACTTTGGTCACAGCTTGCTTGTTTGCACTTTGAGGAGTCTTTTTTCTCTGAAGGTTCTCTATCATTTAATTAGATAATTTTGAGGTTTTTACTAGAGTAGTTAATTTCAAGTATTATTAATTCTTACATTTTGCCTGTCTTTTTTATCACAGAATTTCATTTAATATTTGTATCGGTTTTATGCAGTTATTTGTCTTTAATGACTTCTCGCTTCCTTTCTTCTATTCTCCCCACATCCATTTCTCGTTACTGCTATGTTTTTCCTTTCACAAAAAATAATAATAAATTCATTGGTTCTAAGGAATGTAATTTTCAGTGAAGTAGGGAGGTGGATTTTCCCTCTTAGGTTCTCTTGTAACCCAGGCCCACACTTGATATAGTTGAGGGTAACCTTGAACTCTTGATCCTCCTGCCTCAGTCTCCCAAGTTCTGAATTACAAGCATATGCCAATACATCCAGTTTTATTTGTTGCTGGGAAAGAAACCCAGGGCCTCACAGGTAGTGGGTGAGCACTCTACCAACTAAGCCATATCCCCAGGTCTAAATTTTTTACTTCAGTATTAGCAAGCAAATCTTACTTGAGAATTGCTACGTAAATGTTCATGCTATTTGCATCTATTAGTAATAGTGGAGGCTCATCACAGAACAGAAATAAGCAGGGACAGCAGTCCCAGGAAAGGGAAATAAACTGGATAAGTTGGCTTTAACAGAAGTATTTAAAAGACCTAAAACAATTTCAGACATATTGATAAACTGTCCAAAAAGTGGGGAGGAAGACTTAGCCCTAGCTTAACAAGTTAGATTCCAGGTGTTATTGTAAGGTCAGAATTTGCAGAGTTGAAATCACTTTGTCACTGTGTCGATATAACTATAATGCTTTTACAGCCCAAGCAGGTCTTAAAATTGAGTAGTAGGGGCTAGAATGACAAAACTGTATATTGGACTTAGGGTTAAAAGAACACCTGTGTACTGCTTCTTAAATAACATAGATATTCTGTGCAGTTTTCATTTAGAACTAGAATGTGGCCCACATTTCAGTGGAGAAGTTGTGTATAGCTTAATTACTATAGGAAAATACAATTTCTATTTCAGAATGCCTGAGGCACATCTACCCCCAAACTCAGGAAAGAAAGTAATGTTTTTGCCACTGTTGGAACCTTACAACCAAAGATAAAAACAAAACAAACAAACCAACCCTGAAGTGTGGCTGGGCATAGTAGCCCACACATGTAATTCTAGCACTCAGGAAGCTGAGACAGGATAACAGAGAGAGCACTAGGCTATTCTGAACTACAGAACCACGAGTTTTCTTTTACTTTAAAAATTTCCCCTATTTTATGTGTGGGGTGTTTTGGCTGCATGTGTGTCTGGTGCCAGAAGAGGACAGAAGTAGGTGTTGTATCTATCCCCTGGAACTGGAGTTACAGATGGTTGTGAGCCACCATGTAGGTGCAGGGACTCAAACCTGGGTCCCCTAAGAGCAGCTGGTGCTCTTGCTGCTGAACCTTCCCTCCAGCACCATGGCCTTGAGAGAAAGAAAAGGGAAGGAGGGAGGGACTTCAGAGGATTATTAAGTTTCTCTAGGCACAGGCTCTGCTCTGCTAATTGTGTAAGCAGTTTCTTGAGGTGTGGTGTGTACAGGGTAGAGACTCCAGCTGAAGGCTAAGAGCCTGTTAAATACACTCTGACTTGGATATCAAATAAGTCAGGATTGTGAAATGTTAGCTTTGACCACTAGGAAGCTAAAGCATTCCAGCCTTACTCTGTTCTCTGTTCATGCATACTGATACTGGAGTCAGCCAAATTACGGTTCCCTCTGGTATTTGCTTATAGAATTAATAAGGCCTCTTTTTCCTGTATATATAATAATGACTTATTTTTGTTTCAAATTCTTAGTGTTATCCTAAAGGAAATAATTGTTTAAGTATAAAATTTTGGGTTTTTTTTTCCTGTTTTGGTTTTCTGAGATAATGTTTCTCTGTATAACAGTTCTGGCTTTCCTGGAGCTAAGGCCAGGCTGTCTTTGAACTCACAGAGATCTGCCTGCTTCTGTCTCCCAAGTGCTGGGATTAAAGGTGTGCACATCATTGCCCCGCCAGTTTATAAATTTGAAAAGAATAACTCTGGAAACACTATGTCTCTAATAGATAACACATCTTTTAGTTCATTCTTTTTGTTCCGTTTTTTGTTTTTTGTTTTGCTTTTTGAGACAGGATTTTTCTTTGTAGACCCGCTGTCCTGGAACTCCTTCTGTAGGCCAGACTGGCCTCAAGCTTAACTGAGATCCCTCTGCCTCTGCCTCCTAAGTGCTGGGATTTCATTCTTTATTCTTGTAAGAAGGTAGAAACTTGGGACTAGAGAGATGCTCAGCTGTCTTTCAGAGGACCTGGGTTCAATGCACAACATCCACATGGCAATTCATAACCATCTGTAATTCCAATTCCAGGGGATCCAACACCCTCTTCTGGCCTCCAGCACATGTAAGTTGGACACAAACAAAACACATACATACATACATACATACATACATACATACATACATACATACGTGTGTGCATATATGTATATATATATATTTTAATTTTAAAAGATTTGTCATTTTTAAGTGTGTGTCTGTGTCATCAAATCCCCTGGAACTAGAGTTACAGATAATTGTGAGCCACCTGAGTCCTCTTTCAGAGGACCTGAATTCAAGTCCTCTGAAAGAGCAGCAAGTGCTCTTAACTGCTGAGCCAGCCATCTTTCCAGCTGAAAAATAAAAAAAAAATTAAAGAGAGGTAGAAATTTTTAAATTTCCTTTACTCTTTAATCTCAAGGAAGTTCACAATTTATTTGTAAATATAAATAAGCATTAGGTACTGTCTGCTTCTGAAAGCTTAGCTCAGTGTTTCAGAGCCTGCATCCCAGCAATGAAAAGTCTGGATTCCAATTCGCTCTTGTAATTCTCACAACTACGAAGCAGAAATACATGTAGTTATCTAACAAACGTTATGTAGACTCCATGATTTGATGTCAGCTCTTCATTGTTTTGGGCGCATCATTCTATAAAGCACTGTAAAACACTATGAAGTGTTTGCTCAATAATTTTTTAAGTAAAAGAAAATCTAGAAGCCGGGCGTTGGTGGCGCACGTCTTTAATCCCAGCACTCGGGAGGCAGAGGCAGGCGGATCTCTGTGAGTTCAAGGCCAGCCTGGTCTACAAGAGCTAGTTCCAGGACAGCCTCCAAAGCCACAGAGAAACCCTGTCTCGAAAAACCAAAAAAAAAAAAAAAAGAAAGAAAGAAAAGAAAATCTAGAATTTTCTGTGTGGACTGCCTCCTTTGAAGGCTTGTGGGACAAGTCTTAGCAGCTCTTTAGTTGCTAGTCCTTTCTTATATTCACAGGGAGGGCTATACTGATATCGCAAATGATGGCTATCTCTCTGGTTGTATTCCCTTGGTTGTTTCCTCGTGGTTAGCTACATTCAGGTTCTGCTGCTTTCTGCAGAACCTAAACTCAGTCTGTATTGTTATCTATCATTAGTGTGTCAGTTCAGGAATAGGTTTATAACCAATATAAAGAAGCTGTTGATAGAAACTGGAATTCTGGGTAGAATAACTACACTGAAAACAGACTGTAGTTGGTGTAAATTCTATGAAATTCTTGAAAACAATGTATAGGCACCATATTGAAATCGTGCTAAAGTAGGACTGGGGCTGTCTAGCTCAGTGGTAGAGTGCTTGCCCAGCCTATGCAGCTCCTGAAATTAGTCCTTAGCTACATGCACGCGTAAAGAACATAGATGTAGTTTGTCAAACTTCCCTTATGTTTATAGAGGACTTTGCAAATGAAATTGCAGTTACATCATTTTATTCTGAGGTAGGACAGTTGTTCTTGTACTGATAAGGTACAGTGCAGGTCCAAAGAATACAAACTAGATTGTGTTTAACTATTTGATCCAGGAGCAAATTTTAGTGCTTTCTATTCTTAGAACCTTTGTTTTTATCTCATTGTCTCTCCATATTTATTCATATAAAAATTCAGAAAAGTAACATTTTTTCCTGCAGTAACTTCTGTGTTGAATTTCCATTGCTCCACAGTGATTGTCTTCATTTAATTACTAATGTCTTGAAAGATGTGTTCATAGGCATACATTGAGGCCTCATAACTCAGGTTCTCCAGAGGGCATTCTGGAAAAGTGCCTGTGATTATTTCCCCCTTTTAAAACCAAAGACAGGTGGTTTTTGTTTTTGTTTTTTGTTTTCTTTCTGAAGTGTGGGTTTTGTTTTTGCTTTGTATAAGAAAGTGGTTGTCATTATTACAACACACAGTTGTGAATATAGTATAACTTCAGCCTTTACCAATGTTGTTATAGATCCGGCGTGCATTTCACTTTAGCGATACATGATCATCAAGCAAGGCCTGGTGGTGCAGGCCTCTAATCCCAACTATTCGGTAGGCTGAGAACCGAAGATTACAAGTTCAAGACCAGCCTAGCAACTTTTAGTGAGATGCTATCTCCAGAATAAAAAGTAAAAGCAATCTAGGGATATGGCTCAGTGAGCAATGTTTTCAGAGCCCTGGGTCCAACCTTGGCACCATAAAACGGACGAAAAGCAAACGAGCCAACAAATAGAAACAGGCTGAGGGGATAGTTCGGTGGTAGAGCACTTGGCAAGTATGAAGACAGCTCAGTCCACAGCACTCCCCCTAAAAAACAAAAACATGGTCAGTTTTAAGGATATGGTACAAAATGGTTCCCTGCAATTCTAAACAAGAATTTCTGTGATTTTAACAAAGTTGTTGAAAGGAAAAAGAAAGCTGGCTTTTTTTTTGGTCATTTTTTTGAAAGATCAAATAGCACATGGAAGATTGAAACAGGAGAATTATGAGTTCAAGGACAACCTGAGCTACATAGTGATATTATCTCGAAAACAAACTATTACAGGGCAGTTTAGATCTGGGAAGAGCTGGGGTGTGGGGAGTGGGAGTCAATATGATCAAAACACATGTATAAAATTCTTAAAAAGAAATAATAAAAATTTTAACTCAATATAATTAAGATTCAAACAGTTTCCTAATTTATATTGGTCCAGTGTGTGATTTTTCAGCTTCCCAATAGTACATACAAAAACATACCCATACACTCATCTGCTCTTCATTTTCAGTATGGTTTTCAGTAAATTGTGGGAGATACTAAAAAATAACAACAAAATGAAGCATTGAATAAAGAAAGCTATCTCTTCATGCTCTAATTAAAACTTCCTTTCATTCTTTTTTTTTTTCTTTTTGTAGATTTTTGTGTATTTGTTTTTCAAGACAGGGTTTCTCTCTGTAGCCTTGGCTCTCCTGGGACTCACTCTGTAGACCAGGCTGGCCTTGAATTCACAGAGATCCACCTGCCTCTGACTTCCCAGTGCTGGGACTAAAGGGGTGTGCCACCACCTCCTGGCTCTTCCTTTCATTCTTTTTTTTTCTTCCTTTCATTTTTATTGTAACATGATTTTACTCATTTTGAGCAGTTACATTTAAAAACTTTTTAAAGGAGATTGTTATTGAGAGATATACTCACAGTATAGAAATGACAGCTGACAGATAAGCAGACTATAGCCAGAGAAGGCATACTGCAAGGTATTCGTTAGTCATTTTAACACAGCTGCTTTAAAAGGCTGTGAGGGTCTAACAATAGTGTGCGTGTAGTTTTTTGTTTTGTTTTTAAGAGTTAAGTTTTGATTACTGTGCTGCATTTAGAAAGTCAAGAAAAAGCTATTTGCAGAGAACTTCACTGGAATATTATATGTTGGTGGGGAGAGCTTATATTCTCCTCTTATTTTCCCATTTTTTTTTTCATGACCACTGTAGTTACCTTTATAATTTGAAAAGATGATGGTTGCTTTTTGAGAGTGTCTTCTGTAGCTTAGGCTGTTCTTGAACTGACTCTGGAGCTAGGAATGACCTGGAACTGTGACCTCACAGGCGCGTGCAAACCCCATGATCAGCTCAGATGCTGGTCTTTAAATAACATGTGCACAGCACTAGCTTTTTGGTCCTGGAGATTCTTAACATTTTGTCAGCTCTTATGTATGGTACATTTTTCTGTCTCCTTAATACCTGTCAGAGATGGTTCTTGTTCTCTTTAGATTGGGGGTGGTGGTGGTTCTTTTGATTCTTTCAGATGGGGTCTCATGTAGCCCAGATTGCCCTTAAACTCTATATGTAGTCCAGTTCTTGAACTCCTGATCCCTTTGCCTCCAATTCCTCCCTAGTGCTAGGATTTCAGGTGTGAGCCACCAGGCCCAACTCAGAATGTTTGTTAAAATTAAGCCTTGCAAAGTAGAGATAGACTTTTCACTCTTCAACCATGCAGCTAAGAAACAGTACAGCTAAGATTATCCTAAAACTGAAAAACTGGAGACAGTTTGGAACTGGCTGTCTGGCAGCTTTGGAGCCCTACTCTTGATACATATTGTTTTGTTTGCAGATGATGAAGAGCGAGAGCTTCAGATGGACCCTGCAGACTATGGCAAACAGCGCTTCAATGATGTCCTTTAAACCTAAGGGATGCTCAAAACCCAACGTGCTGTGCATCAAATCATCTCTACTTGTCAATTTTGACTTCTGTTGTAAAGATCAGTTGTATCAGTTGTAAAGATACATTGAGCTAGATTTAAGGAGATTTTAATGAAGGAATGTACCGATGTACATATGTGAACTTTTTCATATTGTATTATCAAAGCAGATACTTTTTTGGTTACAACACAGCTGAGCCAAAAACAGTTAATCTTTGCATTTAAAGCAAACTAATGTAAATTTCACATTTTATTGAACCTAATTTTTTTTCACAAAAAAGACAAACAGGAACAAATGTTTGTACAGGTTATATGCTGCACATGGTGTAACAGCAATGAGAAGTTATTCAGCTGAAAGTCTAGACACTAATACATTTTTATTATCCCCCCATAGGTGTCCTCTACCACCGCTTGGTTAACACTCTTTAAAGAGTTATGCTATAATAGTTGCACATACAGAAAGTGGGGAACAGGATGCCAAGCCATGGGCAATGTGTGTACAGAATGACCTCCCTACTCCTTTTATTTAACGTGAGTGCTGATGAGATAGGCCTGAAGCCTGATGAAAGCCCAGGTTATCATAACAATATTTATAAGTTATTCCTTACTTAGTTCTTGAAGTTGCAGAATGCATGGTTGGCAATGAATTTTTATTTTTTCAAGTAATACCAGTACTGTTTAACTATAGTCAGCACTGGCTAAAATTCTTTCTATTTTCAGATCTCAGTCTGGTGAATGTATTCACCATTTACATGTCAGATCCTGAAAGTGACTAAATCCACTTTGAAATGAGTCTGCAATCAGTACAAGCAAAGCTTTTCTGGTAGTTTTAATGATTGTATTTGATTAGACTTTTCCAGAACTACTAAGTAAGGGATTTTAACAGGTTTTTATTAATAAACAGATGAATAGAAGTACAGTGAAGTCTACAACTGTTTTATTGAAATAGCTGAAAAACTTTGTAATAAAAATGAATTATTTGTAATTAATGTTAGTTAAGAACCCACCAAGCTCATTTGCTAGACTTACAGAATTATTTTTAGTGTATTGTGTCTTTTGCCATTATTCTGTTAGAATGTATAAGCTAGCTAATCCTTGTCTTTTTGGTTTCAAGCACTTTTAATTTGTGTGTGTGTGTTCCCAAAAAATGAAAGGTTTTGATCATAAGGGGGAAAATGTAAGGCTATAAACCTTGTTTTTTGGAAAGGCTGTTATTAATTGCACATAAACATGAAATATTGGGGAGTGACATATCTTAGTCGTAGTGTGAGGCCTAGGTTTGATTCCCAACACTGAAAAACAAGTAATCACACATGAAAAGTCCCCACGTTAAGGCTCTATTCAAAATACTAACCTATAGAAGAAGTAATTGTTCACTTACTGAGATACTATAGTTCAGCCCAAAGTTATTTAATGGCTGGGAAAAGATGGAGTAATTTATTAAAATTTGTTTTTCTGCTATATCAGATCATCCAGTGTTGAAGCAGAGACAGATGGGTCCCTAGGGCTCACTGACCAGCTATCCTGGCCTAATTAGCAAATTCCAGGTCCCAGTAAGGGACAGTTCCTAAGGAACACCCCACACACACACACACAGGTTGACCTCTGACCTCCATATATATATATATATATGCACCTACATCTGCACACATGTAACTGCTTGTGCACACAAACACTCTCACCTGTACCAAGAAACCAAACAGTTAATACCTTTGTTGTCGGTGAAGTCAGGCCTACAGTCAAAAAGTGACGATTTACATTAAAATGTAGTTAAAGGGGGTGATCTACATCCACAGGAGTGAGCGAGGGAAGCTGAATCTACAATGCTTAGTGGTACGTCATGCTGTACAGAACCTTAAGGTCTCCTGCCAACTCCATTGTCATAAAAATGGTCACTTGGTTGTGTGCTAGCTATGCTTACTTGCAAAAACTTGATTTAGCAGCCTAGACATTTTATAAACTGGGGAACCTTGGACCAACTGATAATACTTCTGACTGTATTAACATTGTAGTGCTATAAAGTACTATGTGATCTCTTTACATTGTGACATTCTATACAGTCTGTATTAGATATGTGGTTTTGTTTAGGATTGTTTGTTTTGTTTTCCTTTAATGTATTTTTGCCATGAATTAAGTGTTATTTTGATGGGAACGCTGCTTTTAAAAATCTTACTGGGTTCTAATAAATTAAAAGTTAAACTTGTTTCACAGTTTTGATTTTTTTAGATATATATATAAAATTGTAATAATATAAACATTTGCATCTTGACACAGGAATATGAATAAATGTTAACGTTTATTTTAGGTTAAACTGAAGTACATGAGCAGGGTTGTTTCCTGTAGGGCCAGCTTATTTGTCAAAGGTAATAAGTCTTTTGTGTCCTTAGCATAAGTTACAAGTAATGAAATATTACTTATAAGTAATAATAATAAGTGAGTAAACAAACAAGTTTTGTTCTAGAGCTTACATTCAAACGGAAGCTTTCAGCACCCGAATGAATCAAACCAGCATGGGATAAAATGGAGAAATGGGAAAGGGAGGACTTTACCTGGGGAGGAGGATTAAATAACACTAAGTGTACATCAGACAGACAACTGGACCTGGGTTGGGCTTTTGAAACCTCAGTGCCCCCCCCCCCAGTGACACACCTCCTCCAACAAATGTCCACATCTCTTAATAGTTCCACTCCCTGGTGACCAAACATTCAGATCTTCAAATCTATGAGCCTATGTGGGCCATCCTCATTCAAACCACCACATAGATACATGTACACACACAGAGAGACACTAAAGTATGTCACTTGGGGCAATAATGCTTCCTGAAACAGCCATGGGCTATCAAATAAAACCTCTAATACTGTTCATGAAAAACCTCCCTCAAGTTGTTGGGTAAGGGAATTGCAAGAGACACAAAACAATATATGCTCTTGCTATTGCCCCATCTGTCTCTCTAATGGAACTGATCTGGAAACTTCTTCCTTGAGTGGCTCTCATACTATCAGTGCTATGCAGGGTGCCAACAAAAAACAGCATTGGGTATTCCTACCCAGCTATAAAGATATATGAACCACAATTACTGTGTATTATATCTACAATGGTAAAATAATGACACTTACCTAACTGAATGTAAAGGTCTGCTGAACAGGAGGGAAACCATGCTTGGTACTATAAACCTAGGCAGCTACCTGTGGCTGGAGAGGTTGTAGACCTAAGAGAAGAACATACTGTCAACACTTTCCTAACCAGTATGATTCCTAATTGTACTCCAAATACTTACCCTTATACCCACAACTGAGTATAGGCCTCATCCCCAAAAACCCAAACCAAGCCAAAGGAAAAAAAACAAAACAAAAACAAACTTGGTTTTTGCACCAGGAGACCATTACAGAAAGCCACAGTTAGTGAAAATGCAGAGTACAAGCTGGGCAGTGGTGACACATGCCTTTAATTCCAGCACTCTGGAGGCAGACTGATCTCTGAGTTTCAAGGCCAGCCTGGTCTACAGAACAAGTTCCAGGACAGGCTCCAAAGCTGCACAGAAAAATGCTGTCTTGAAAAAGAACAACTGACCGTGAGGTGCTCAGCCACAATTGAGACATCCACAACACAACTTTTGCATTTGGGGTGGGGGGCAAGAAATAGTTCTGAAGAGGGAACAGAAAGATGTAAGAGCCAGAGGACCAGGAAGTCTGCTGTGAGACTGCAGCTCTGAGAGAGGAACTACACCCATGAAATCTCAACCACATGTCTGCCTAAACAGGACCTGAACAGCAACTGATAACCCAGTATACATGGAAGCAATCTTATGGGACACGACCCCTAAAGAACTATAAGCAATTAACTGCTATGAATGGGAGAATGAGTGTTCCCCAGGGATGATCTCCCTGATTGGTTACCCAACACTAAGTGGTCAGCCTTAGAAACATGAGCAGGCAACACTGAACAGACTCAGTAGTAGCTTGTATTTATATGTTCATTCGTTTATATGTATATTTAACAACAATAGTTAAAGAGGAGGTCCTGTGGAATTAAGATACAGTGAGAATTACACTGGAGAGGTAGAAGGGAGGAACGAGTTACTCCACATTTTTAAAAATAAAGATAATTTCTAGTATTTGTTTGTTTATGGAGAGAGAGTTTCTCTATGTAACCCTGGCTGTCCTGGAATTCTGTTACACCAGGTTGGCCTCAGACTCAAAGAGATCATCTGCCTGCTTCTGCCTCTCAAATGCTGGGCTTAAAGGTGTACTCCACAACTGCCTGACTTCTAAAAAAATGTTTAATTAAAAAAATATTAAAAGTTGTTGGGCAGTGGTGGTGATGCCTTTAACCCCAGTACTCGGGAGGCAGAGACAGGCGGATCTCTGTGAGTTAGAGACCAGCCTGGTCTACAGAGTGCCAGGACAGGCTCCAAAGCTACAACACATGGAAACCCTGTCTAGAAATAATAATAATAAATTAAAAGTCTAGGAAGGCAGTCTGGTGAAAAACATAAATTTATTTAATATGGAAGTGGAGGGGTCAAACATCCTTGGTGCTGTGCTACTGACCCAAGCTTTGAAGACTCAAGTCCCAGGTAGGATGCATGCATGATTAGGCAGTCTTGATCAAACTGTTGCCTGGACCTATGTTGTCATAGTTGGAAAATCTTTAAAATACTTTTGTGTTAGTGTCTTGGGCCTTGCAGAAGAGAGAGGATTACCTTCACTAACTGCATGCCCCTTTAGTGATAAGCACCTCTGGATGGAGAAATCCAACTCAGTTTAAGACAGGATGAAAGCAGAGATGCCAAGCTTTATCCTGCTTTTAGTTCACCCTGTTTCTGCTTGGCATTGCAGAGTCAATTGAGTGGGTGGTTCTTAGCAAAAAGCTACCAAGCTCTTACTACAGTGTGAATACATCTCCATCTCCAACTCCAGTATTTTGTCTCTACATCACCTGTGAGTAATCAGCATTCATGTCTAACCAATCTAACCACATCTAGCCAATCTAGCTCCTTTCTATTGTTACTTTTCCAATTCCTTGAGACTCCTTTCTCTAGCTTGTGTCAAGTTGACATAAAACTAGTGAGCACAAGCAGGGCAATGGTGGTACACCATTTAGTCCCAGCACTCAGGAGGCAGAGGCAGGCAGATTTCTGTGAGTTCGAGACCAAGCTGGTCTACAGAGTGAGTACCAGGACAGCTTCCAAAGTCACAGAGAAACCCTGTCTCGAAAAACAAAAAAACAAAAACAAAAACAAAAACTTTTTTTGTTCCAGCATTCCCCATTTCTTTTTTTAATGTAGTTTCTTTTTTTTAAAGATTTATTTATTTATTATGTATACAGTGTTCTACCTGCATGTATCCTTGCATGACAGAAGAGGGCACCAGATCTCATTACAGATGGTTGTGAGCCACCATGTGGTTGCTGGGAATTGAACTCAGGACCTCTGGAAGAACAGTCAATGTTCTTAACCTCTTAGCCATCTCTTCAGCCCCTCCCATTTCTTCTTTACCTCCCATGTTTATTCTCAGACCAGTCTTCCCATTATCGATTGAAAGTATGGGTTCTAGAAAGACAAATTTTCCTTTTTTTGCTAGGGAGAAACTAGACCTCTTCCCTTAGCAATAGGAGGGAAGAGTCTTTTGTGTCTGTCTCTCCTGCACAGCTAGAGATTATAAAAGTGGATGTGCTGGGCAGCAGTTTCCAGGCAGCCCATGACTCAGTCTTTTTTGGGTTTTGTTTTGAGGCAGTGTCACCTGTCCTGGTGTGGCACACAATGGGAGGCTATGCTGAAGAGGTGGACAAGCAGGAAGATCAAAAGATAGTCCTTACACCAGAGCCCAAGCTGGCCTGAAACTTACTATGCAGCCAAGAGCACACCAAACTCATGGCAATCCCCCTGCCTCAGGCTTCTCAATGCTGGAATTGCAAGCAGGAGACTGGTAAAGGCAACATTTTAAGAGAAGGAAAACTGAAGCTGGACTTTGGTGGCGCATGCCTTTAATCCCAGCACTCGGGAGGCAGAGGCAGGCGGATCTCTGTGAGTTTGAGGCCAGGCTGGACTGACAGCCTCCAAAACAGAGAAACCCTGTCTCGTAAAACCAAAAAAAAAAAAAAAAAAAAAAAAAGAGAAGGGAAACTGGCTGAGGCCCACAATCACCCATTTCCTTGTGCTGTAAAAAGGTTGGTGTCAGCAAAACACAGAGGCTCTGAGCTGAGAACACTGAGACCATTGTAAGGGACAGCTCAAACAGCTGGAATCTGTTTGGTGGGCTATCAGAGAGGAGGGAGCTGCTGAAAGATAGAGCCCTAGAAATTCACAATCCCACGTAGGACTGAGAGCTGAGCTGTACAAAGATCAAATTGAGACCACCTGATATTTGATAGAGTCTGCCTCACCTTGTGTGAGGCTCTGGATTTGATCCACAGCACTGCAAGAAGAGGGAGGTGCCTGACATGGCGGCACACACCTTTAATCCCAGCACTCGGGAGGCAGAGGCAGGCGGATCTGTGTGAGTTTGAGGTCAGCCTGGTCTACAGAGTGAGTTCCAGAACAACCTTCAAAGCTACACAGAGAAACCCTGTCTCGAAAAAAACAAACAAAATGACTAGCTAAAAGGTCTGTGAAAGATGGCTCAGTGTTAAGAGCTCTTGTTGCCTTTCCAGAAGATGTAAGTACAATAGCTCAGCACCCACAATGAGCAGCTCAAAACTGCCTGTAACTCCAGTTCCAACGAATCTGGTACCCTCTTTTGAACTCTGCAGTCACCTGTGCTGACATGCACATCCCCACAGTGACACACACAGACACATAATTTAACAGCAATGAAGAGAAATCTTTAAGAAGTGACTAGTTATATAAACAAAATATAATCTTTAAAAACAATAGAGGGCTGTGAGTGGTGATTTCAGCATTCGGGAGGCAGAGGTAGATTTTTGAGTTTGATTGAGTCTAGTCTGGTCTACATTAGTGAATTCTAAGGCAGCCAGAACTACACAACTGTGCAGTAAGATCCTACCTCAAAAAAGACACACACACACACACACACACACACACACACACACACACTGGGGGGTTATGACAATATTTAAGAATGAGTATTGCACCAGCCAGGCACATGCCTTTAATCCCAGAACTATGGAGGCAGAGGCAGGCAGATCTCTGTGAGTTCGAGGCCAGCCTGGTCTACAGAGCAAGTGCCAGGATAGGCTCCAAAACAATACAGAGAAACCCTGTCTTGAAAAACCAAAAAAAAAAAAAAATGAGTATTGCTCATGCACAAGACCTGAGGGGGCAGACTCCCCAGCATCTAAATCAGAATCACCTATAACTCTAGCTCTAAGGGAATGTGATGCCCATTTCTGAGTGCATGTCCCACACAAATACACATCATTTAAAAGTATTTAAAATACTTTATAAAAAATTGATGAGGGGTTGGAGAGATGGCTGGTTGCCTTTCCAGAGGACCTGGGTTTGATTCCAGCACCCACATGATGACTTGCAACTGTCTATGATAGGATCTGATGCTCTCTTCTGGTGTATAAACAAGCAAACGAGACACCCATATACATAAAATACAAATAAAAATTAATGATCTTAGCATAGTGATATACACCTTTAACCCCAGCATCTAGCAAATGGAGGCAGGGGGATCAGGAGTAAGTGACCAGTCTTGGCTACATAGTGAATTAAAGTCTGTCAGGAATAAAGGAGACCCTATCTCAAAAAAGCAAAGTAAGCCAGGGTCTTAATTTCTATTGCTGCACTGAAACACCATGACCGAACATCAAGTTAGGAGAAAAGGGTTTATTTGGCTTACACTTCCATATTGCTGTTCATTATTGAAGGCAATAAGAGCAGGAACTCAAATTGAACAGGATCCTGGATCATACAGAAGCTGTGAAGGGAGCTGCTTACTGCCTTGCTCCCCCTGCTTTCTCATAGAACCCAGGACCACCAGCCTTGGGATGGTACCACCCACCATGAACTGGGCCCCTCCCTATTGATCACTAATTGAGAGAATGCCTTACAGCTGGATCTCATGGAGGCATTTCCTCAACTGAGGCTCCTTCCTCCCTGATGACTCCAGATTGTGTCAAGCTAATACTAAACCAGCCAGTACAACCAGGCATGGAGGGCTTTATCCCAGAACTTAGGGAGCAAAGCCAAGAGGATCTCTGTAAGTTTGAGGTCATTCTGGTCCACATAGCAAGACATTTTGCTGTATATAATCAAAATATTCATTTGGAGACAAACTCACATAGCTCAGGCTGTCACTGAATTCCTTATGTAGCTGAATCCTGATCCTTCTACCTCCATCCCCAAGGGTTGGTTTACAGATGTGTGCTACCATACTAGCTTACACAGAACTAGAGATTTAGCCCTATGCTCTAGGTCATGTTTATTAGTCGCAGTCAGTTCTCTAGAGAAACAAATGGGATGGGGAACATGTATATATAATTTAATGTATATCTAATGTGTTAATAAATGACTTAAATCACTTCCCATCTTTAACAAGTAGCAGTAGTTGACTCACACCTGAGAGGTTGAGAACACAGGAATTGCTTGGTCCTTGGGGCTGGGTGCCCCTGCAGTTGGAGCTGGCCTAATGTGGCTCTCTCACATTAGAGAGGCTGACAACCTGTTAGCTGGTTGGTGAAGGCTGGGTGTCTCAGCAGTTCCAACCTGGCATGGAAAACCTGAAAGGTTCCTGGGGAGTCATTGGTCAATGATGGAAGCCTGAAAGTGCTGGTCTCACCAGCAAAGGTATCTGCAGTGGCAACAGGATAAACCAACTGAGCAACAAGAGGGAAAGACTAGCAACCAAAACACAAGGAACTTCCATGCCCTTAAAAAAGCAAACAAACAGACAACACTGGGCTGCTCTCAGTAGCCCACACTTGGGGTAGGTCTTCCCACATCTATTGATGCTATCAGGACAGTTCTTCAATTCTAATTGGTGATGAGTTGATATTAAAACCAACTATCACTGAATGCTGCCAAGCCCTTGACTACATCCCTAGCCTTTTAAACCATCTCAAATCTTCAAGTCATTTCTAGGTTGCTTACAGTCCTTTATACACTGTGAATGCTGTGTAAATAATTATTACATTGTATTGTTTAGAGGACAATAACAAAAATGGTAGCATATACAGTATAGGCTTTTTTATTTTAAATAGTGGAGTTAGTCCACTGGATATGGAACAGGCAGTATATTGAAGTCCAGCTGGATTGCACATGGGGTAGAAGAAAACCTGTCTTTACCAAGATCTAAAGTACTGAGGTATAAGTGAATGAGAGAAAAATCTAGTTTGGGCCATATAAAGTTTCAGGTAGTTATTGCTGTCAAATCATTACAGAGCAAAATGACAGCCCTGATATCTTAATATTTAATATATTACTGCATTAATAAATTGATTATACCACAAATTAAATTATGAATCATGAAGTTAATATGCCATATAATTCAACTAAAAAAATAAATAATATTTCTTAGTTTAAGTGGTCTGAAATGCTTGAGACTAAAAGTGGTTTGTATTTCAGATATTTTTGGATACCTGAATATTTCCACATCGATCAATGAATTGTTGTGGAGGTTGGGACTGTGTCTAAACAGAATTTGTCCTATGTACCTGATATACGTAGCCTAAAATTTTAGCTGATCTGAATTTTGACTGTCACATAAAGGTCAAGTGTGGAATTTTCTACTTTTAGTGTTAAACGTTTTAGATGTCTGTAGCAATTTGTATTTTTTCTTTTCTTTTTTTTTTGTGGACTGAGATGTTACTTTTCCGTTGCTATGATAAAATCCTGGGACTAAAAGCAAATTAGGAGCTTAAACTTGTTTCCACAGGACTATATTCTATAATCGGGGAACAGCATTGCAGCAGGATTGGGAAACCAGGGATCACAGTTCCTCCTATCACATTTTGACCACACACAGGAAGCAGAGAGAACAGGCAGGAAGTGGGTTAGGACTATAAACCCTCAAAGCTCACCCCAGTGACATATTTCCTCCAGAAGGCTTCACCTCCTCAAATATTGCTACCAGCTGGGGCCCAAGTGTTCAGAACATGAGCCTATTGGGGACAGTCTCATTCAAGCCACAACTGGGATGTCCCATTTGTACCATAGACTAGAGATCTGAGACAGCGATATTATTTCATAACTATCATATGCCATTTTATAAGGCATAATGACACTTGTCTGCAATCTCACCCCTTGCAAGATATAGGCAGATGGGTCAGAAGTTCAAGGTTATCCCCAGCTACATAGGAGTTTGAGGTCAGACTGACCTACAGAATCAGTCTGCAAAAGCCAAAGCCAATGCTGACCATGGTGCATAATCTTAATACTACCACTTGGAGGAAGCAGGCAGATCTCAGCCTCGGAGAAACCCTGCCTCAAAAATCAAAAAAAAAAAAAATAGGCTGCTGTACATAGTGAGCTGCAGATTAGCCACGGCTATGTAATTAAACTGTCTCATAAACAAAGAAACCCCGGGGCAGTGGTAGCCCAGGCCTTTAATCCCAGCACTCTGGAAGGAGTATAGGTAGACCAGACAGAGAAACCCGTCTTGAAGAAGAAAGAAGAAAAGAAGAAACCCAACCAAAATCAGCAGCAACAACAAACCCCCTTTAAAAGTTTTTTCAGTAGACTAATCATACATAATGAGTTTTACTATTCCATTTTCAAACGTGTATTTTGACCATACCCGCTAATTCTGTTTCCTGTTCTTAACTAGTTCCTCTTTCTTCTATCACACATTGTTCTTGTGTGATGCAGTTTTGTTTCATTTTCTGTCCTGAAACTCGCTCTGTAGACCAGGCTGGCCTTGAACTCACCCAGATCTGCCTGCCAGCCTGCCTCCTGAGGGTCTCTCTCTCTCTCTCTCTCTCTCTCTCTCTCTCTCTCTCTCTCTCTTTCTGTTGCTCAACTGGCCTTGAACTATCTACCTTCCTCAGCCTCCACTTTGGACTGGGTTTTTATTTTTCTTGAGATAGGGTCTCCCTATGTCAAAGCTGACCTGGAACTCACTATGTAGACTAGGTTGGCCTTAAACTCAAGATCCACCTTCTCTGCTTCCTGAATGCTGGGATTGAAGGCATCTGTCACCAAACCTGGCTTGGACATTACCAAAGTTTAATGACATTAACAGTGCCCATATAAAAGGGCAAGAAAAGCACCTTGCTGAGTGCTTTATAAATAATCTCATTTGAATGAGAGAGTAGACAAATAATCTAAAAGCCTTTCACTGTGTCATTTATTCTAGGGTACAAATGAAACCTCTAGTAATTTTAAGTGAAATTTATATTTAGACTTAATTCACTTTGATAATCAGGGTATGAAGTTAGAAGAAGTAGGCTAGAGAGCAAATAAATGATAGCTAAGGTGAAAACCAGAAATAATGAATTTATAACTCTTGGTGGAAATGGTTTTAGAGGTTAAGCACACTTATAGTCCAGCAATCGGGAGGCGAGGCAGGAGGCAGTCTTGTGTCCATAGTGAGTTTGAGACCAGTCTGAGTAACATAAAACCTTGTCTCCAAAACAAAAGAAACAAAACAAAAACCAACCAACCAACCAAACAAATAAAAAACAAAAGAGAAGTACATAAACTGCAAAAACATTTGAGCTTACCATCTGCAACTTTTCTAAATGTAACAAATTTAACAATCTTAACATAACTGGTGGTGGGGTGATGTTGGTATAATGGACACAATGTCGCCTTTAGCCTCAGCTATATTTCTTTTTAAAAAATTGTGTGTCTGTGTGCGGGTAATACAAGTGCTTGCAGATGCCTCCTAATGCCAGAGGTGTGAGATCTTCTGAAGCTGAAGTTATAGCTGCCATGTGGGTGCTCAGACCTCAACTCTGTGGCCTGCAAGAGCAGCCAGGGCTCTTAACCAGGGAGCCATTTCTCCGTAACCCTAAAAATATTAAAATAAAAATTTAAAAGTTCCCCAAAGTAGCTTTTTTTATTCTCAAACTTGCATGTTTCTAAAACTTAAATAAAACCTGACATTTACAGACTACTTATGTATTTTTATTCTTCCAGAGTTAATGGGTCCAGCACCCTCTTCTGGCTTCCTTGGGCATCAGCCACACATGTAGTCCATACCATACATATAGATAAAACATTCATACATTAAAAAAAAAAAGAAAATTTTAGGAGCAAGTTTTTTTGCACAGGCCTGATGACATGAGTGTCTTCTATGGATCACACAAGGTGGCAAGAGAGAACCACAGAATTGTTCTCTAACCTTCATATTCATATCATTTAGTATACAAAATAATTTTAGTACTCAATGGGGGATGCTTGATTTACACTTTTTACTTTCCAACATATGCAATAAGATAACCTTTAATCGTTTTTATTTTTGATTAAACTTTCATGGACTTATGACTATATGGACTCCTAACTTGTTCTGTGATATATTCACCATTGGTTGTATTAGATTTTTTAACTTTTTTCCTTTCTTTGGAGCCAGGTTCTTGTTATGTAGCCCAGGCTGTTTGGAATTTTTTAATTTACTTATTTTTGATTTTTCGAGGCTTTGGAGGCTGTTCTGGAACTAGCTCTTGTACACCAGACTGGTCTCGAACTCACAGAGATCCGCCTGCCTCTGCTTTCTGAGTGCTGGGATTAAAGGCGTGTGCCATCACCACCCTACTGGAATTTTTTTTTTTTTTTTTTTTGGTTTTTCGAGACAAGGTTTCTCTGTGGCTTTGGACCCTACTGGAATTTTAAAAAACTGCCTCAGTAATTCCAAACGTCATGATTACCCGTGTCCTACCACACCGAGTCTCAAATCAATTTTATGCTGGGGAAGATTGCAAACGGACTGTTTGCTTTGACAGGATCGCTCCCGAGGACAAACCACCTGTTCCACATTTTGAAGGAGAAACGGTATTTATA